AAAAAAAAAAAAAAAAAGACCAGATTTTAGGAGGAAACACAAGAGTAAACGGCGTACCTGTGTTTAGGTCTTTACAAGCTTTTCTTTGCCATTTTGTCCTCCGAATTTTTTTTTTTTCATCTGTGGAAGTATCTGCATGTTGCACAATACAATTTCACTATTTTCTTAGATTTTATACACACAAGAAATAAGTGTTAAATTAATAAATTAAGAAATAAATTAATTCAGCCGTTATTTCCCTGTTGCTGTGTGTTGTAGGTGCAGCTCAGAGCGGCGTAAGGAGAAATCTCGAGACGCGGCGCGCTGCAGGCGCAGTAAGGAGACGGAGGTGTTTTATGAAGTGGCCCGCCAGCTGCCTCTCCCACACAGCATCAGCTCACATCTGGATAAAGCCTCCATCATGAGACTGGCCATCAGCTACCTGCGGACACGCAAACTCCTCACCTCAGGTACACACTCACTCATCCACATGTGAACTGGACTGGGTATTAAAAAACACACACATCAACATATATTAGATTATTACATTTGAAATACATGCAAAAGTTTGGACATCACAGCATCGAAAAAAACGATTGATTTCAGCTTTAGTGCACTCTATTTTTGAGACAAAATATTATAGATTTTCAATAAATCTGGCTTTAAATCTACCGTTTATCAGCCAAATAATGATCATTTTATCTGCATTAGCCATAATTTTTATATTTGTGCATCCCTAGTTATGAAGACATTGACATGCTTTTCTTTCACTATGTGGTCAAACTCATACAAACAAGTGGATAAATTAATTAAAATATTATTATTTTCATTTAATATTATTATTATTATTATTATTATTATTATTGGACATTATAGTATTGATTTGGCATTGACAAAACCTATTGATTTTAGTTTTAATTGGCATTACATTTTGTAAATGTTTAATATCTGCCATTTATCAGTTAGCAGCCAAAACATGAAAATAATATGTTTCAGCCATAATTTTAATATTCGTGCATCAATAGTCCAAACAAACAAACAAACAAACTCATACAAAAAAAACAAACAAATAAATAAAGTTGTTGTTGCTGTAATTATTATTATTATTATTATTATTATAGTATTGATTTGGCAATTTGGCACTGACAAAACCTATTGATTTTAGTTTTAATGCACATTACATTTTAAGATTTTTAATATCTGCCATTTATCAGTTAGCAGCCAAAGCATGAAAAAAATGATAAATGATCTGTTTCAGCCATACTTCTAATATTTTTGCATCACTAGTACTGAAAATATTCTGAAAATGCTTTTAATTTACTATGTGTTACGACTTAACCACAAAATAATAATGATGATGATAATAATAATAACTTATTATTATTATTATTATTATTATAAAATTGCATACATACAACTTTACATGCATAAATATTTATCTACAAAGGTATAATTTCAAGCATTTAGATTCAAAATGAATAGTATTAAGAATTAATCATTGAATTGTTAACATATAACTATTATAATGTAGGATACATATATTGTTTTGTTATTTTATATCAGTAAAGCAATATTTTCATAATCAAATCTGGTGGATAACAAAACATGGAGCAAAATCCTATTACTGCATTGACTGGTGCTGTTCATTCTGCTGTTTTTGTAGAGTTATATTTGCAATTTGATAAAGGTTATCATCACATGGTGACTCCTGTGTTAGTACAACATCACAAACCATGCGACTCTACTTGACGTCATGTCAAAGAAAGAGCTGTGTGGCAAATACACACTCGGCTGATAATCAGATTCTAAAGCTCTAGTTTGATCTCTTATCTGGGTTCACTGTCATTAGCACTGCACTGTTATGAGGAAATGTTTTAGTCGTGATGTCAGACTGCATTAAAGTTACTGCTGTATTATACAAATGAGGAGGCGCTTTATGTAAGGACATAATTGCGTTAGTGAATATTGGACCTGCTGCAACGATGTCTGGGTTAATTATGTTTAGCTGTTGGTGCTAATATAACAAATCAAAGACAGCATGTGACGAATACAACAATTTAATGCAAACCTACAGAGTACGTTTAATAATGGATACGGCAAGCTTCAAGAGATATGAATGTGTGTGAGTGTTAAAGGGACCGTTCACGTAAAAGTGATTTGAGTGCTATTATTTTCTTCCCTCATGTTTTTCTGGACAATTATGGTTTGCTTGCTTTCAGGGAAAGCAAAAGGAGAAGTTTAGCATAATGTTGACAGTGCTCTTTTCTCCTGGATTGTGATTCAGGCTGTATAATGCACATAAAAGCAACATAAAAGTATCATAAAGTAGTCCATAAAAATTGTGCCATTGTTATATTAGTATCATTGATGTACTATAGTTTTTCTTAATATTTTGAATTAGATTTTCCTTTTATATTTTCTGTTTTTACTGTAATTTTAGTTAGTATAAGTAATTTTGCTTTGTTTATATAGTTTTTTTTTTAGTTTTTTTTTATAGCAATAATTGTTTATTAGTTTTAGTCTTTTTTTTTTGCACTTCAGGTTAAACTAAATGAAAATGTGAATGTGAGTTGTTTTTTTTTTTCCTAAATATTTTATTTTAACATTTTTCAAGTAATGATTAATTTTGCTTATTTATATATTAATTAATTGATTTATTTAATAAAAAATATTTTTATTTAGATTTATTTCGTTACATTTATTTAGTTAATAAAAATAATTCAATAATAATAATAATTTAATTGTGAATTTATTGCTGAAAATATTTCCCTCCACTATAGCATTCAAATCTCATGAAAACATTATGCAAAATATTCTCTTTTGTGAAAATCATATTGGGTTTGGACGACATGAGGGTGAGTATATGATGACCGAATGCTCCGCTCCAGATCTTGTGAAAGTTTCTTAGACCAGAGCAGGTACGGCGAGAGGATGTGAGTACGTTCGTATTGTGTGTGTCTTTATTATAAAATTAGAATCTCCGGAAGCTGGACAAAGGAGCCCCTGCATTCGACATTCCATTTTGTGTTTCACAGACACTAAAGAGGACAGGGAACACAATTAGTACCCAGTCAGAACGCAGAATCGACCTCAGTTCGGAGCAATTGAAAGACTTTGAACAGTTCTCATGTTCATGCTACATGCAGAAATGGAAAGAGGGAGGGAGGGAGGGGAAAGAGACATTGAAAAGCAGCCCTGTCAGTACGAGATGACACATCAGATAGTGTTATCAGCAGGTCTGTGAGTTGTGTGCTGGAAGCATGATTGGTGATTTCTTTAAGGCTGGCGCTCTCCATCTCAGGCCAACCAAAACACAGGCCAACCCTGGCGCCACACATCCATCCATCCATCCCTCCTCCTCCTCCTCCCGCCATCACCCTACTCATGCTGAGGGTGCATGGGAAACACCTTTTACATAAGATCCCCAGTCCCTATGCACTGATGCTTACAACTGATTTGCTCTTTTCGTTCATGGGCGGCTCGAAAAAATATGTTATGAAATAATCTATGTAATCTTGTTGAAATCAATGACTCACCGCTGCTGCTGCTGCTACAATTATGATACTTTACAGACTCAAAACATGATGGTTTCCTGTCATTGTGGACTGTATGTCATTTTAAGCGTGAAAACTATATGCAGAGAGAGTTGTGGGCATGTTTATCAGTAAGAAGCTCCAAGATACCATTTCCTCCAGTTCATTCTGTTCAGAGTTCAGAGGTCTGTAGATGTATGTCAAAACAAGTTTCTGTAAGCTTTTTGTTTTGTTTTGGTTTTGTTTTGTAACGTTTTGTTTTGGTTTCGTTTGTTTTTTATTTTGTTTAGTGTTTTTTTTTAATATACATTTTGTTTTGGGTTGTGTTTTGTTTTTGGGTCTAACTGTGTTTTGTTTTCTGCTATTTTGTGGTGTGTGTGTGTGTGTGTGTTGTGTTTTGTTTTGGGTTGTGTTTTGCATGCGTTTGTTTTGTGTGTGTTTTGAGTTTTTTGTGTTTTGTTTATTTATTGTGTTTGTGTTTTGTTTGGGTTGTGTGTGTGTGCTGTGTTGTGTGGTTTTTTGTGGGGGGGGGTCATTTTATTAGTTTTTTTTGTGTGTGTGTTTTTTGTTTGCTTATTGTGTTTATGTATTTTGTTTTGGGTTGTGTTTTGTGTTTGGGTCATTTGTGTTGTTTTGTTTCTTTGTTTGTTTTTATTTTATGTATTTGTTTTCAGGATGTATTCATAAAATTGTGCGCCATTGTTATATTAGTATCATTGATATACTATAATTTTTCTTAATATTTTGAATTATATTTTAGTTTTATATTTTCTGTTTTGACTAATTTTAGTTAGTATAATTCATTTTGTTTTGTCTATACAGTTTTTTTTTTTTTTGCTTTTATTTGTTCGTTTTAGTTATTTTAGCACTTTAGGTTAAACTAAATGAAAATGTGTTTTTTTTATATTTTATTTTATTTAATTTTACATTTATTTTATTTCAAGTCATGATTTGTATTTATTTATATATTCATTTTATTTTGTTTTATGTGTGTGTGTGTGTGCTTGTTTGTTTGTTTATTGTGTTTAAATATTTTGTTTTGGGTTGTTTTGTGTTTGGGTCATTTTTGTTTTGGGTGTTGTGTGTTTTTTTTTTTTAGTGTTTATATAAATGTTTTTTGGTGCGTTATGTTTTGTGGGTTTTTGTTTGTTTTTAAAGTGTTTTGTTTTGGATTGTGCTTTTAGCTTTTTTTGTTTGTTTTGTTTTTCTGTTGTGTTGTGTTTTTAGTTTGTTTGTTTTTGTTTCATTTTGCTTTACATTATTAACAACACCCATTACCTTTAGCACATATTATGTAAAGCAAAACATCCTGTAATCTTGATGGGCAAAAATGTTGTCAGATGTTCTGCATGACCTTGAGATATCAGTAGTCAATATCAATGTTTCTAGCCCAGGTGATCATATGCGCTTGTAGACGCATGTCTGTCGGCAGCAGATGAATTCAGATTAGTAGACTTCTCTTCCAGATGATCAATTTCTGAAACCCAAAATTTGGGTGCAGTTTTGTTTCATCTCAGAATAAAAGCCGCAGGGCAAGAACCCTTCAAAGACGTAACTCTAATTCTCCTGGGGCCGCAGTCTCTAGGCTCGGCCCAAATCCAGCCCTGGGCTCTCAATGGGCCTTGAGAAAGTTTCTTATCTGGAGGAAGCACACTGGAGCAATCACAGGCTTCCGACCCCCCAGCGTGGAGCCGCTCTGTTCTCCATTTCTTGTCCAGTCCACCTCCCTCTTGAAGCTCTGCCAGATATACTGCAGGACTCGACCAAAGTCTGGCACCCCATCCATATTTCAGTGGTGGTATCACCAACCGAGTGGGAATTTTGGTTTTTCCAAATGCTCACTTGACTTAATCAACTATTTGTTTTATTGTGCAATTAGTTATATATTACCATGTATAATATATACAGCAGGGTCTACTAGTTAGCAATGCAGTTCTTTCTTTGACTTGATTTATAAATGTCTTGCCTATTTTGTCATTTTCAAGTTGTAAAATAAAATAATTATATATATATATATATATATATATACTACTTTAAAATAATGTGGTCTCAATTTTTTGGACCCCACTGTATTATTTAATACTTTATGCATCAGAAGTCGAACGTGCATGCATTAAAGAGTGCGCTACCTATATACTGTATCTTTACATTGCCTTGCATAAGTTTATGTATTTTTCCATCTTCAGAGAAGCATGACCACAAATATTGGCCCCTTCCCATACGTTTCTCACAGATGTGGGTTTTCCACATAACAGCTGGCGTTTGTCTCTTTAAATTGAAAGACTGCACAGATTTAGTGCTGTCAAACAGCAGGGCATTGTGGGTGTCTGTGTGTCATTATATGTGGGTATTTGGTTTGTGTGTGTGGAGCTGAGGGCAGTGACAGAAGGGAGGTCAGTGTTGTTGGGAGGGTTCGGAGTAGCAGGATGAAGTTGCTGTTGTTTATTTTGGACATCCGCCAGGGACTTAAGAGCCAGAACATGACTAGCGAGTGTGCGCACACTCACATGCACACATGCATTCTCAAACTCTCGTGTTTGTGCCCCGTTGCAGCCGGTGCTACTGCCACAGAGAAGACAGACGTAGACAGACTGATGGACAGTTGGTATCTGAAGTCACTGGGCGGCTTCATTAGCGTGGTAACATCAGACGGAGACATGATCTTCTTGTCAGAGAACATCAACAAATTCCTGGGTCTCACACAGGTGAGTACGAACGCGGGCCCAATAACGTACGCAGTGAAATGAATCACTATCCAGACAGATACTCTCACCTTTAGTCCTGTTATTATTAGCTGTTTGTCTGTTCAGCATTAGTTTCCTCTGGGTTCACTTAATCATATGCAGACGAGATGCCATTATTAACCACAGCACAAACCCGTTTCCTTCAAGCACTGTATGGGAGGAAGGATGTGTCACTTTTTTTGTACCCTTGCAGAAGCTCTTGGACTTATCTCATGTCTGCCAATTGCTTCCTTACACATGGCTGCTGTTTTGTAGAACTGTGGCCCGTTATCTATTTGTTATCTGATAAATTGCTATTATGATAAAGATTAAAGATCCATAGCCTTTGTGTATCACAAGAACATGTCCAGGTCACATTTTACTACACACAAAAAAAGTGCATATACGTAATGCTTAATATCCTCAGTAATGTAAAATAAGTAGTGGTATATTATATAAAAAAGTGGCAGCATTATGATGGCATTAAATATGGTAGCATAAAATTATGGTAGCATTTGCTGTATTACAGTAATAGGAATTAAATGAGGACCTTGAAAAAGAGAATCACAAGAAACATTAAGATATTGGGAATTTTGGGGGAAATGGTCATGAAAATAATCTAAATCGTTTCTTAATCATAATGGTTCTAAAACAGGATTCGTTTTCTTTATGCAAAATATAATTCATCTTATATACACTATTATTCAAACATTTGAGGTCGGTAAAAAATTTTTAATACTTGAAGGAAGTCTCTTATGCTCACCAAGGCTGCATAAAAAAGTAAAAATAAAAACAGTAATATTGTGAAATATTATTACAATCTAACATAACTATTTTCTATTTTAATATATTTTAAATTTTCATTTATTTCTGGGATTTATTCAGTGTCACATGATGCTGTTTTACTGCTCAAGAAACGCTATTATTATTATTATTATTATATTGTTTATGAAGTACTGTGAAGAAACTATACATGATCCTTTCTTAAAGATTCTTTGAAGAATGCAAAGTTTAAATAAGCAGCTTTTATTTGAAATAGAAATCTTTTGTAACATTAGAAAAGTCTTTACTGTCACTTCTGATCAATTTAATGCATTCTTGCTAAATAAAAGTATTAATTTCTTTAAAAAAAAAAAAAAACTAAAAATCCCAAAGCTTTGAATGGTAGTGTAATATACTGTAATGACAGATTGCATGAGATTCACCTGTTCTGAAAAACGGATAGTTTCACATATAATGCAGTGACAGCAGCTGCATGTCTTTCTCTGTAGGTGGAACTCACAGGGCACAGCATCTTTGATTTCACTCACCCCTGTGACCACGAGGAGATCCGCGAGAACCTCAGCCTCAAAGCCGGTATGTCACTTCAGTGTATTCAGCTTCAAATCCTGCTATATGTAGACAAAGCATGTGAGAATGCCAGAGAACAGCCTAGAGAAAAACAGAGAGGAATCCGTTATATTGCTCTGATGTTTTCGAGGGAAAATCTGCATGTAATCAGCTGAAAACATGATCGCACTAACATTGAGTGCATGTACGTGAATCGCAAGTTTCAATGCAAACTCTGAATTGCCTACAAAAAGCATGTGAAAGCATTAACATTCAAAACTTGGTTGGTGTAAAATTCACTTCACATGCTTTCTTATGGGCTTTTTTCTTATGAAGATGAATTGGGCTGTAGTGGTTTTAGCCGTAGAGAAAGAGGAGCTGGAGGCTCTCAAGAAACTTTCTTATCGCTTCTGCAAACAGACTTTCAGAAATCCCAAAACAAGTATGTAAGGCCTAATGTAAAGAAAACACATGGCTTCGTAGGAGAGGATTGGTTATTTGAAGAAATAACAATCATGCCTTGAAAAACATGCACCCATAGCCCCTTCCCCTTTTATTCTGCGTCTCCTTTATTTGACCTCGACACTTCAGACCGCTCTTTGCATGCCTCTTATAACCTCTCACCTCTTAAGGTCAAGTTTCATTGTGCTATTTCAGGTGGTTGCCTCCTTCACTGTAATAAAACGAGCTGTTGAGAGGGTCAGGTGGTCACCTGTGTCGTGTATCCAAAACAAGACACCGCTCGCATAATGCTCTTCATTGGGAATTGTTACATATTCATTTGATTGCATTTGAAAACATTAATTAAAATAGTCATGTTTATTTGATAACCACTGTTTTTGATGGTAAATTTGTTTTAAATCATAAATCTGGAAAAATTGTAAATTAAGACGACAACACAATTTCTGGAAAAACGAAGAAAACGTTTCCTATTAAAAAAAAATCCAATTCATTAGTTATTTTTTTTTATTATTAACCTTTAATTATATTCATTGAAACAGACTCCAGATAAATTAAAAAGCATAATTTGGGAAAAAATAAAATTGATTTTAGAGGGCCCTATAAATGTAATTTTTCTTTAATAATTTGTTGTTAAATTGTATACGTTTAATTATTTCAATTATTTAGACATGCTTTTTGATTACTGAAATTTAAATGAAACCATTAAAATGGAATCCCCCCAAAAATTACAACAGAAAAGAATGGAATCTACAAAAAAAAAAAAAAACTTTTTTTATTATTGTTTTTTAATTATTTAAGATTTTCAATTATTTTAAATACATAAATAAATAAAAGTGATTTCATAAGGCCCTAAAAAAATTAAACCATTATAATGGAATAAAAAATGGTAATAAAATAAAATAAAACACTTAGAAAAAATGGGGGTGGGGGGTCTGTTAAGGTAAGGTTTACCCAAAAATGAAAATTGATCCTCATTTACTCAACCTCAATGCGTTTCAATCCTGAATGACTTTCTTTCTTCTGTGGAACACAAACTGTTCTTTGAACACTGGTCACTTCTGTGCAAAACATGAGGGAAAGCCTAATGGCAAACTGTTCGCTAAGAACAAGACATGCATTAACTGTTCAAACAGTCATATTTTACTTCAGCTTGTAATTCTGGTTTTAGCTTACACATTTATTTTTATAAAAGTGATAATATCGAAAGCTGAAAGTGCTGTAAGATCTTTTGGAATTTGATAAGCAAAGAAAAAATATTTGTGTTGAGTTTAGGCTTCCGTTTGCACGGAAGGAGAATGCTAGGAATGTTTTCCTGGGATTTTTGGCCCATGTCTAAACTGAAGACGCTCTTTACGTTTCTCTGTGTGTGTGTGTGTGTGTGTGTGTGTGTCTGTGTCTGTGTCTGTGTGTGTGTTAATCTGCAGGCATGGGAAAGAAAGGCAAGGAGCTGAGCACAGAGAGGGATTTCTTCATGAGAATGAAATGCACAGTCACGAATCGCGGGCGCACCGTCAACCTCAAGTCAGCCAGCTGGAAGGTGAATAAGTTCTCTTTACCATAAGTGCTGACCTGGAGTCAGACGTCGGTCGTGTAGCTAATAAAGGTGCCGGTTGTTCTTTCAGGTGCTGCACTGCACAGGGCACCTGAAGGTGTGTAACGGCTGTCCTGCACGAGTGCTGTGTGGATTTAAAGAGCCGCCGCTCTCCTGTGTGGTCATGATGTGTGAGCCCATCGCCCATCCATCAAACATCGACACGCCGCTCGACAGCAAGACCTTCCTGAGTCGCCACAGCATGGACATGAAGTTTACTTACTGTGATGACAGGTACAAACACACAAACCCACGTTCAGGAGTAAGTGTGCAGCATAAGAATTGTATTGTCAGTTGAGACTCATTAACATCGATCCTGTTGACCGTTCTGATACTAGACATCATCAATAGAGGATAGTCATCAAATAATAAAATAAAATAAAACTGAATATAAGCTTTTTCTTTTCTTTTCAGTTTATGAGGTTTACCATATTTGAAACTCTGAATGTTTAATCAATTAAAATCCCTGTTTTGTGTGATTTTATTTTTTATAAATAAACATTAAATAATCAAAATGATTAAAAGTAAGCAAAATATAAATCTGTTAGTTTATTAATATAAAATAAAAATGACAAATAAAATGGGAAATAAAATAAAACATTTTTAAAGTTCTACCATAACATTTCGTTGCATAACATTTTTAACATTTAACTAAATAAATAAATAATAAATTAATAAACAAACCCTCTCTCTCTCTCTCTCTGTATAGATAGATAGATAGATAGATAGATAGATAGAATATTATTTATTTTTATTTATTTTATTTTTAATTTAGCTTTTTTGCTGTTTGCTGTTATAGCAGTTATAAATACTTTGAATTAACCTTTATATTTTCAGTTTTCATTTAAATTTTAGTATATTTGTTATGTGCTTTTGTCATTTTTATTATTTTATTATTATTATTTAATACTTATTTTTATATTTATTATTTTGTATTTATATTTTAGTTTCATTTTTAGTCATTTTACTTCGACCTAAACTTATTTTATTTCAATTAGTTGCCAAGACAACATTTAAATCAAATGTTTTATGTATATTTTATTTTATTTCAGCTTTATTTCAATTTTTTTTAAAAACTTAAAGGCTTAGTTAACAATAACAACGCTGGTAGTAGGAAGAAAATGTCTTTAAAGCAAATGAGTCAAAATATAAAGGTCCGCAGCAGCAGCAGGGTGAATATGTGAATGGGCACTACTTGAAATGACACTTAATTGGGTAAATGAAATGTGGTTGACACTCCATGCCCAAACAAGCAGTGGCGTAGTGGAAATAAGTGACTCCCAGTGGCATCATTAAACCATCGTTTACACCGTAACATTTCCTCTTGTCTCCTCTGACAAAGAACTCGCTGTTCTCCACACAGTGCACACACGGTTCAAAGTGTTCGCCGTCATGTTTTCTGTGATTAATGTCTCCACCCAATAATCTCCACACCAGACCACAGCTCTAAACCTGCTTCCCTGCTAATGAAGTTAGAGAATATACAGCACAGTGTTTAACAAACACCAGAGATTCAGAATAACATACTATATTAGTATCTGAATAATATATACATTGAATGTAAAATATATTTAATATAAAATTCATATGAAATATGATAATTAAAAAATTGTGAGAACCACTCCAAACACTTTTTTTTTAAGGTAACAATGTTTTTAATGTTAAATTAACTGATAATAGATATCAGAAATATAGTGTCATGTCATTGACCTGCATACATGGAAAATGGCTGGTTTTTCGTTGAAGCCTGCATGAGAAAAAAAGAAAAAAAGGGAAAAACATTACATTAAAGACCAGATGAGACATGTTTAATGGATGTAATGATTGCTAAAATGCTGTCCTCAGTAGATGTTGAAAGCGTGCCCTGCTTTCTACAAGAGACTTATGTCACCTTGCAGAATAAGAGAAAAGTAGGGTCATTTAATGTATTCCAGCTCCCATCCAATGGTAATTCTGGTCATTATTGTGATGTCAGCTCACACAGATTCAGAGAAGATTGGTCTGAATCATGATTATTTAATTTTTGGAGCAGAGTGTCTATGGAAAGATCTAAGATGGGGTCCAAGGCCTTCATTAAACAACCTCTGTGTATTTCAAAATTGTGTTTGCTTAGTTTTTCTTATTGATTTTTCTCATTTCTCAGTTTTTCTCATTTTTCTCAAAAAAAACAAACAAAAACAAAACACTGCCTTTTGATCGGTGCAGACTTTGCTCAGCCATTGGCTCAGATCCACCCCAGCCCCTATACTGTGTGTGTGTGTGTGTGTGCGTGTGCGTGCGTGTGTGTGCGTGCTTGTGATTTATGAGGACACAAATTTGCATAACGACATGGGTATAACAGGTATTACAACGAGAAGGTGATTTATGAGGACATTTTGAGTGTCCCCATATTTCAAAAGGCTTATAAATCATTCAGAATGAGTTTTTTTGAAAATCTAAAAATGCAGAAAGTTTCCTGTAAGGGGTAGGTTTAGGTGTAGGGCGATAGAAAATACGGTTTGTACAGTATAAAAATCATTACGCCTATGGAATGTCCCCACAATTCACAAAAACAAACCTGTGTCTATGTGTGTCTGTGTGTGTGTTTGTGCCTCATCAGCTCAGATGTGGTTAGTTCAATGACTGGTGAATAGAAGGCTCTTTAATGAACCGAGGCCTGCAGACACACACACACACACTCACACACTCCTGCATACAGAGTCAGTGATCTGCAGCTGTCTGCTGTTATGTAACTTCAGTACAAGGATCAACTCAATGCACTAAACACACTTTCAGAACTAAATAATACTCATGTCACATTCATTACACAAAATCACATAACCATTACACAAAATGACAGTGGAGAGGGCTTAAACACATTATCACAGTAACTAGATCTGTAATGTAGAAATAAATTAGTTTTACATAATGAGACAATTTTTTCGTAGTTGTTATTTTATTATTATTATTATTATTAGCAATGACTTTTAGTGTGGTTTACCAAGCAATTTTTCTGTCAAAACTATTTTATTAAAAATAATTAATTGTATTATATTTTATATTGATTTACTTGGATATTTATAGGATAGTTATGATAGCTGTTAGTATAGAGCTCACTTTCCCTTCAGCATGTTTAATGTAATATTTAATGTCGTCACAATTAACGACAATTATTGTGTATTTTATAATGTAAAATTCATCAATTATGAAATGAATTCAATTTCAGTAAAGCGGCTATAGAGGAGGATAGCATCATTATGGTTATTTGGTCTACATTTTGTTCAGTTAAATTGATAATATTACTAAATATTATAAATTTAAAATGGCCAGTTCCAAATTTTCTCAGTCTACCCTGAAAAAAATCTGAAATTGCTAGTAAATTTAATACATGACATAGAAATTGCAAGTAACACATTCAATTAAACAAAATTTTAAAGTGTAAAATTTGAAATGGTATTTTTTTAATAAATCTTACTCCAGTAATCTTTATTTACAATTTTGAAAAATCATATTTTCAGTGTTCTGTCATATATTATCCTTTAAAGTAAAGAGATTTTAAATATATAATGTTAGATTATGGCTCATAAATTCTAAATATTCACCCTCAGCAAACACAAGGTCTCTGAAACTCCAATTCTTGATATCAGCCAAACAAATCACATGAAATGGATCATTATTAAATTGGCTTAAAAATACTAAGCTTGTGCAGATCAAAGAAAATAGCTGAGAGCTTTTGTGCAATTGTGTGTGTGTTAATGTGTGTGTGTTTGTAATGTTAATTGCCTCTCACACTTTTTCCAGAGTTACTGAGTTGATGGGTTACAGTCCTGAAGATCTTCTGGGCCGGTCTGCGTATGAGTTCTATCATGCTCTGGACTCCGACAGCGTCACCAAAAGCCACCAGAACCGTACGTGTCATTCATTTGCACCCTTGTGTGAGATGACCGGAAACCTTTTCTCTCTTTCACACTTCAAGCATGTGTTATTAGGAAATAATTGACCATATTTAAGAAAAGAAAATCACATCCACATGTATAATCATATGACTGCTACACTCAACACACACTCCTAACATCGCCTTGCCATTGCGTGCATCAAGCAGTGCCATGAGAAGAGGATTAGAGAGTGTGGTTAGAAAGCAGGAGCTGGGGTCGGCTTCTGAGAAAGAGCGGTGGATCAGGTCAGCACAGGTGGCGAGGTTTACTGTTTCAACCCTTCAACACAGAACAAGTCAGCCTTAAACACACGCTCTGTGTGCAACTGCTATCTGATATCTGCTACTTCACAGCTACATGTCTATATGTACATACACAGACACACACACGCATACACATTCGCACTTGCTTTCTTTCTGAATGCATAAAGGTATTGACCTCTTTTCCCAGTGGTCTCATAATACCCTGAATCCCATTCATTGTGCATTGTCTAATTAAACCTTTTGTTGAAAAGCAGTTTAATCAGAATAACATGCATAAACTGTTCCTACTACATGACAGATATTACTGAAATAGGTGTCCAGATTGTAAAAAAGAAAAAAATGGCGCACACTTTCTTAGCCAATCAGAAATGGTCTTTGCCTGTCAATCGTTTTAGAAATTAGTACTTTTTATTCCGCAAGGATGCATTAAATTGATCAAAAGTGACCGTAAAGACATTTATAATTTTCAAAAGATTTACATTTAAAATATTTGTATCATATTGTTTGTATCATAGTTTTCACAAAAATATCAACTGTTTTCAACATCGATAATAATATGAAACGTGTCTTGAGCAGTTAATCAGCCTATTAGAAGGATTTCTGAAGACTGGAATAATGATGCTGTAAATTCAGCTTTGATCACAGGAATAAAATTCATTTTAAAATATATTCAAATAAAAAAAAACAGTATGGAAATGGAAAGCAGTTCATTTAAAGGTCCCATATTGTCAAAACTGAAATTTCCTGGCTTTTTTCACGATTACTGAGGTCTAGGGGCTATTTAACTACCATATAAGTTTCAAAACAGTCAGTCCACAGTAAACTGCACACAGCCTGCTTAAAGTTCTAGCTATTTTTCACGAACCGTTGTGACTTCCGTAAAAAGTTGACGTCAGAACTACACAGCCTTCAGTCACCACCCCGAGCACCGCCCACAGTGCCTCCAGCTAGCGCTGTGATGTCGGCTGACCCTAGTTACCTGTGGTTGGCCTGGCCGTGCGTCACTCAGAAAACAACAGGCCAATCAGAAGAAAGGCTCATGAATATTAATTAGACAGGCCAAAATCGACCTGTTCTCAGCAGAGCTCCTGAGAAAGGAGCTGTAAAAATATATTGAGATGGTTTTTGGTACTTATACCGCAAATATATATTCTTAAGGACATCAAAACCTAAAATAAAACTCCAGAAAGGTGTACAATATGGGACCTTTAAATTGTAATATTTTGATCAAATAAATGCAGCCTTGGTAAGCATAAGAGACTTCTTTTAAAAAATTTTTTTAAAAAATCTTACTGACCTCAAACTTTTTAACTTTTGCAGTATTAATCTAAACATTATTAAATAGTTCTTCTATATATTTTTTTTATATTTGTATTTTATTTTATTAAAAATTTTGATGGTGGGGGGGTTGGATATGGATTTAGTTTTTTGCAAATTAAATGTTTCTTACAAAAAAAAGAGAGAAAAGTAATATTACTGTTTCCACTGTTTAGAATAATAAACTCATAATAAATAGAATGGGAATTTTGCATTGACAAAAAACTATTAAACAAAAAAAAACGCTATATTTTAACTTGTCGGATATCTGGGAACTTGTTTGCTGTTTTTCCTTCATCCACTGACTATACTTAAAACACACTGCAAACAATATCTTCAGTTAAATAATATTAATAATAATATTATTATTTATTATTATTATTATATTTCAATATTATATTGAATTTATATAACATAACAAACACATAGAATATATACATCAATCGTAGTTACTCTCCTCTCACTTTTTTTTACTTTATCAACATGCTGCCTGCACCTAATTGCCTTTTAGCTTTCATTTATCTGTCTCTTTCTTGCTAAGCAGAGGTGCTGGTTACAAACACAGGTCCACAAACACAGACTGTCCACGCACAGCAAACAACAATATATATATATACTGAGGTCGCCAGCCCTCCTGAGTCAAATTGCATTTGAGACAAATTGCATTTCGCATGCATGTTTGAGTTATGAATAAGATTCAAAAGAGCCTTATTGGATTGGTTCTATTAAGGATGACCGGAGCAGCCATTAGGACATTTTGAACCCCATTAGGGGTGACAGAAGAGATAAGAACACCGCTACGGTGCTCTTCAGCCGGGCCAGGTGTCCCAGATTGCTCCCTAATCAGATGCTGGATGTGTACTGGCTTCTGTCCACCGTGACGTTAACATGTAATTAGAGTCTTTTCAAAGTGTGTAGAGGAGAAAAAAAGTGTTGATCTGGATTGGAGCTGCCACGTATTTGTCTCTTTCTTTTCTAATCACTTGAACTTTTCTAAGAGCTTCCATCATTTATCAAACGACCATTAAAAAAACATTTCTATATTTTAAGACAGTCTTATAGATTGTATATTTCTCAGAGCGAACATGCATATACATTGAGAAGCACTCTTTGTATAAGTGATTTTCTGTTTCCCCACTCAAACTTTGTTCTGCATTCGTTTTATTACAAAATTTGCACCTGGTTACATCTCCACTGCAAACCCTTTTTTTTGTCATATATGAAAGCAAAGAAACAAGAAAAACAAAGAGAATTAGTTAAATAAGAACCTAATAAACCTAAACACAAAAGTTTCAATGCAAAACACCCTACCAAACTCTTTCTGTGTGCCAAGCAAATCATAAATTTGTGCATTGTGTTATGCAAAACAAACAGTTACTAATGGTGAATGCTTAGACTTTAGTTGGCAATATGAACCTGCTCTATAAGTAGCATATATATTGCTTCATAAATTAAAATAACAAGAATGTCAAGTCACTTTTACTTCTATAGCGCTTTATACAATACAGACTGTGTCAACGCAGCTTCACAGACGTAAACAGGAAAAAGAGCAGAATCAATTATGGAAACTCAACTGTGGAGACCATTCATATTCCGCTGAACAGCAGCTCTGAAAGACAATAGTGTCATTATTTAGCTCAAGTCAGTTCAGGATGTACAGTACCGTTCAAAATGTGTGGATTTTTAAAATACTTTTATTCAGTAAGAATGCATTAAATTGATCAAATGTGACAGTAAAGACATTTATAATTTTACAAAAATGTATATTTCAAATAAATGCTGTTCTTTTTAACTACGTTTCTCAAAGAATCCTGAACAAAATGTTTATGCATGGTTTCCACAAAAATATTAATCAGCACAACAACATTTCCAACATTAAAAACAATAAGAAATGTGTCTTGAGCAGCAAATCAGCATATTAGAATGGTTTCTGAAGGATCATGTGACACTGAAGGCTGAGGTAATGATGCTGAAAATCCAGCTTTGCATCACAGGAATAAATTACATTTTAAAATATATTTAAATAGAACATAACTATTTGAAATTGTAAAAATATTTCACAATATTACTGTTTTTACTGTGTCAAATGAATGTAGCCTAGATGAGGTCTTTTAAAAACATCATGCAGACCCAACTTTTGAATAGTAGTGGATGTATAAAAATATCTTCCCGCTATTTTTAAAAACCATGCATAAGGATGAGAAAACATGGACATTTTTTCAACGACTCAGTAGGAAGGAATACATGCAAATGTTTTAAATTGTTAGCGGGGCCTTTGGAAGGACCAAGCTCGTTGACACAGGGACACTGGCCTCCTCTTAGAACCTGCGTCTTTCTATGCGACTTCCTTTCCGACCGCTCGTATAAAGTCGCAAGGCTTTCCGCAACGTGGCCGTCCTGCAGAGCAGCGCATGCACAGGCCGGGAGTGAACCGCTTGACCCGAAACCAATGCTTTCCCACGGCAGATCTGGACCGAGTCCAGAGCGAACGTGCCACGGAGACGGACTGTCAAAACTCAGATCAGCAATCCCTCATTGTCTGCGTCTCTCTCTGTTTGTCCTGTTGCTTATGTTAGCTTTCCGTTGATGGGTCCGGCTGTCTGTCCCGGTTTATGTTATAGCTACCCAAGACCCTCTTAGAGATCCTCATGTCTAATGGCTGAGAAAACATTTGGACCGGCCGTTAAACCAAAATGTCAGCACATAAGTCAATTTTAGGAAATGCATGTGTTCTCAAGACGTTATTTTCTCTTCTTCCCTCACTAGTGTGCACTAAGGGCCAGGCGGTGAGCGGTCAGTACAGGATGTTGGCTAAGAATGGGGGCTATGTGTGGGTGGAGACCCAGGGTACCGTCATCTACAACAGTCGCAACTCCCAGCCCCAGTGCATTGTGTGCGTGAACTACGTGCTGAGGTAAAGCAAAAAAATGAAAGGTGACAAAGCTTGTGATGTGATGTTTGTACTGCATCTGCGGTCTGGAACTTTCTGTTCTCTGCTCACCGACGCTTGTAATCCAATTAAAGACAAAAAATACAACTTAAAGGGATAGTTCATCTAAAAATGTAGTCACCCTCATGTCGTTCCAAACCATTTATGCCGTTATTTTTTTCTGTGGAACACAAAGGGGGAAACTGATGAATGTTCACACAGCTCATTTGAGGCATGGTGATGCACATGCTTGTGACTTTCTCTCTCAGCAGTGTTGTATGTACAGCCATCAGTCGTACTTATCAGACTCTCTTTTCTTAGTGATGTTGAGGAGAAGTCTATGATCTTCTGTATGGACCAGACTGAGTCTCTGTTCAAGCCTCAGCACTTGAACCGTTTCTTCAGTCCAAGCAAAGGGGGCCTGGGCAGTGAGCGGGGAGAAATGCTCTTCACCAAACTCAAAGAGGAGCCTGAGGATCTCACCCAGCTGGCACCTACACCTGGTGACACCATCATCTCTCTTGACTTTGGTGAGAACGGTCTTCTTTTTTTGTAGTTTTGAACCGATATGTACCAATAGTACCAATATCTAGGGAACAGGGTGGAAGAAAGCACATAAGACGTACACAACAGTTGTACGAGGTCAAGGAATATACAGCAATTTTCTTTTGTAGTGTTGTTTTATAGATGTATTTCTTTCTTTTTCTCAAAGTCAAAAGAAAACATAAACATAGAAAATTAATACTTTAATTCAGGAAAACCACATTAAATTCCTCAAAAGTGACAGTAAAGACATTTATACTGTTACAAAAGATTTCCATTTCAAATGCTGTTCATATGAAATATGACTTGAGCTACAAATCAACATATTGAAATGTCCGTACCCACTGTATACTTCGTAGACATCTTTAATATCTAATATATAAAATCTAACTACATTCTGCTGTCTGTTGTCAGTGGTTCTTTGTCTGAATATGGCACTTATTATCACATACTGTGTGGTATCGGCGTTTGGTATCGGGGCATTTTAACGAGTACAAGTACGAGTACAGGAGCTCAGTATCGGGCCCGATACCGATACCAGTATCGGTGCATCCCTACTAAAAATATTAACGTGTTAGCAAATATTCTCACCAACGTAATGTATAAAGCAGCTACAACTACTGTTTTGTAAGACTGACACAACTGCAGCCTTTTTTTTTAATCAGTCAAGCTGACAGGGTCATCTCGTTACCTACAATACAAATCTTCATCTGCTCAATTCATTCTTCTTTCTTTCAGGTAACCCCCAGTATGAGGAGCACCCGATGTACAGCAAAGTGTCTGCTGTTGCTCCTGCTGTCTCTCACTCTGTTCATGATGGCCACAAGACAAGCTACGCTGGAGACATGTCCAAGATGGCCGGCACTTTCTTTGTGCCTCAGGCTCCGCCGGCCAGCAGTACAACTCCCAGCCTGAGCAGCTGCTCTACAGTAAACACAAATACTACATCTTCTCATCGCCACATATTTTGTTTGCATAAAACATTGATTACTGTACAGTATGTCGTCATAGAGTATGTTATATATTGAACAGCCCAGCAGTCCTGGAGATTACTACACCTCAGTAGACAGTGACCTGAAGGTGGAGCTGACCGAGAAACTGTTTTCCTTAGACACACAAGAGACAAAGACTCCCTGCAACCAAGAGGTTAGCAAATATCCAAACTGTAATATCAATAATGCTTTTATATTTAATATGAAGTACGTCATACTTTTTAATATTTATATGTACATATTTCACTGAGATTATAACTGGTTAAAATCTCGAAGAAATCTTAAATATGACAGGAAAAATATTATTATTATTATTATTATTTTAATTAAAAAAAACATTTTTAAATATTTTCAAAAAAATATTTAAAAGTTCCCACATAGAGCACTTGTTGGCTGCCTTTTCTTAATCCAGTCTCATCCATTAAATAAAATAAATAAATACATTTTTTTTGTATTTGCCTGCCAAACTTTCAAGCAAAGGTATGATAAGATCATGAGAAATGTAAATCCCGTCAAATATATATAAACACTTTTGAACAAATACATATTTAAACAAATAAGAGTTTTTTGTTTTGTTTTTTGTTTAAAAAACAGTCAGGTTTTTTGTTATTTTAAATAGATGTGAGTGTTTTTTGTTTGTTTTATGTTTTGTTTTGTGTTGTTTTGTTTTGTTTTGCTTTTTTGTTTTTGTTTAAAAAAAAACAGTCCCTTTTTCATTTCTGAAAGAAAAAAAAACTCTTTTGAAGGTCTTTTATCTCATCCAGAGATATTTTGATCCCTCATGATCCTTTTAATGTCAACTATTATGAAAAACACAAAATCAGGTGTTGCATGTAGAATCCAGACTTGCTGACCTTTGACCTCTCCCTGTGACCTTCCAGACTGACCTGAGTGATCTGGACTTGGAGACTCTGGCTCCCTACATCCCCATGGATGGTGAGGACTTCCAGCTCAATCCCATCTGCCAGGAGGAGCCGTCATCTGAGATCGGGGCCCTGGGTACCAACCAGCAGAGCATCAGCAACATCACAAGCCTCTTCCAACCCTTGAGTTCCCCTTCAGCAGCCCACTTCCAGCCCAACATGAGTTCAGGAGGGGACAAGCAGAGCATCAAAGGAGGCTCTGTGGAGTCCTGGCCATCTGTACCCTACAGCAGGGGCCCCATGCAAATGCCTCCCTACCATGACCCCGCCAGCACCCCGCTGTCCTCTATGGGAGGCCGTCAGAATCTGCAGTGGCTGCCTGACCCTCCGTTACCCAGCAAGGCTGGAATGATGGATCCTTTAGCTGCAAAGCGCTCTTGCCAAACTGTGCCAGCAAATCGAATGCCGCCTTATTTGCAAAGGTGATTCTGCATATAACAGGGTGTTTATATGGGTTCGGCCTTATAAAATAACATATGCTGCTATCTTTAGATTTGCACTGGATGATTCCTGTCTTTGTTTCACAGGCCCATGGAGAACTTTGTGCAGAACTACAGAGATATAAGTCCAGCTCGACTTGCTCTCGCTAACAATTTCAAGCGCTCATTCACACAGATGACAATGGTTTGTTCATATTTAACATTATATTTAATGTTTTTAGTATATTAGAATGATTTCTGAAGGATCATGTGACACTGAAGACTGGAGTAATGATGCTGAAAATTCAACTTTGCATCACAGGAATAAATTACGTTTTAAAATATATTAAACTAGACAACATTATTTAAAATTGTAATATTTTGCAGTATTGCTGCTGCATTTATTGTATTTTTGATCAAATAAATGCAGCTTTGGTCTTAGCTTGATCAGTAGTGTATAATGCAATAAATTGTTTAGAATCTAAACATTAATAAATAATTATTAATTATATTTCACAAAGGAAATTTGGTTGGTTCATTTGGAATTTTTTTTTTTTTTAGCATATTTACCCTCTAAAATTGTCTTTATTATTATGCTAGAAATATTCTTACCAACCTAATGGTAAAGTACTTATGAAGGTAATTGTATTACAGTAATATTGTTTCAATTAAAATGCAATAAGTAAAAAAGAGAGAGAAATTGAAAATATTAACTGCTTACTGTCCTGAAAATAATGACCAATTAAAATAAATAAAACAACATGGTTTGCTTATTTTTTCAAACGCACACTCCAGTGAAAACTTTTAACTACTACGTATTTTTTGTTAGTACTATTTTAGTACTAATAATTTTCATTAGTACTTTATTTAGTACCTTATATTTTTAGCTTGAAAGATGTCCTGGACATTTGTTGGCTGCATTTCCTTCATTATCCACTCCAACTCATACATTTTCAAATAAATTTGTGTTTACCTGGCCAACTTTCAAGCATTTAATCATAAACCTCTCTTTAAAAGATTTAATAAAATCATAAAAAAATGTCAATTAGATCAACTGTATCCAATCATTTGAAACACTTTGAAATTATAGTTTTACATTTTTTGTTTTGGGTGATATTTATGTTTAAATTATAAGTCACCACATGCTCTCTGTATGTTTTAGAATGAGCCGCCCCTCACAAAATCACAACACCCAATGTGGAAGAGACTTCGGAATGAGAGCTGTGCCGTTATGGACAGAAAATCAGGTATTACACCGAAAATGCTTTATTATTATTAATAATAAAAAATGATCCTGCAGAGAAATCTACACCAATCAGAGTAAATCATGCCAAAAGAACACTTTAGCACCCACCAACAATCAATGTCTAGCATCTGTATTGCAGACAAATCCAATATCAATTGCTAATCAAATGTGTTTATATCTAGACAAAGGCATGGCCCCTAATGGAGGCATGGACCACCAGCACAGGAAGACCCAGTATTCAGGGAATCAGGCCGGACAAGCGACAAGGCGCTTTAGAGAAGAGTGCTGTAACTACAGAGAGTTCAACATGCAGCCTTCCTCCAAGATGGATGGTGAGCTCTGAACCGACACAGACACGCATCTGCTCGTACATACGTCATGCACTGTGGATGCTGATTCTCAGAACCGCTTGTGTTTGCAGGAATCGCGAGTCGTCTTATCGGGGCCTCCTTCGAGACCTACTCTCTGCCTGAACTGACGCGTTACGACTGCGAGGTCAACGTCCCGTTGCAAGGCAATCTTCATTTGCTGCAGGGCAGTGACCTCCTAAGAGCATTAGACCAGGCCACTTAGACCGGTTTCACCACAGAAATGCAGTCCCACTTTCCCCCAAACCCTATCGCTCATCTCACACTCACCATCCCAGCTTTAGCACATCCCACAAACACCCTCTCACAGTCATATCTACCGGAGCGCATACATGACAAATGTAGCTTTGATTCTATTTTTATTGTCTACATCTTCATAAATTATATACAAGTATTTTTGGAGGAGTTGAAATGATGTTGCGTTGTGTCTCTGCTTGTCAGATCACTCGGCGAAGCTGTTTTCAGCATACTCATTTTCTTTTTTTTTCTCTATCAATGTCAGACAAGAAAAGCAAGAAAGAATCTACTGTAAGCTACTTGTTTTAAAATGTTCTCATTTCTTTTATTTGTTCTAACTTTCCTACCTCTGACACATCATTACAGACCCCATGAAATCAAAAGGCTAGTTTGGAGCTCATGTATACACTAATGCAGTGGTTTCCAAAGATGTTTTATTAAATAATTCAATCAGCATTAACAATAGCTGCTCTTTATACATGTGCTGCTGTCTTTCCACTTGCACAAACACGTTCACTGTGAAGGGTTGCCAGATTTGACAAAAAACAACCTGGTCTAATACAGTGACCCTTGTTATTATGCTTTAGGTAGGTAGTATTCTCTAAACAAACCCCTTAAAATGAATATGATATGCAGACATGGCAAAACAAATATGAGAGAAATTAATTCAGTTAAATTCGGTAACACTTTACTTAAAGCCTTTATGTATAATGCATTATATTTATAATGCATAGTGCAATCTAACAAATAATTGTAACCACTACATTATAACGCTTATCAGTTCATTGTTACGCTATGCATTTTAAATTCGGTTGTAATTATTTTCAACAAGATGTAATGTATTACAATGCACATAATGAATAATTACAATGCATTATACCCTTTATAATGCATTATACATAAAGGATTTAAGTAAAGTGTTACCTTAAATTCTACTAAATTTAAAAAGCAGTTTGATTTATTATGAATAAATAAAATATTATTGATAAAAGCAATTAAATTAATATGATGTGCAGACATGGCAAAACAAATAATAAGTTCTACTAAATTAAAAAGCAATTTAAATAAAATATTACTGAAAAAAGCACTAAAATGACATTGCATTATTATAATTTAACACATTTAAATTATAACATTTAATTTAGTTTTGTTTTTAGTTTTGCTTTTAATTAAAGTTGAATGATGCTTTATTTAATTACACCTGTGCTGGCAACCACTGTGCTAGTGTACTCCTAAAAGCTAACAAAATGAATATTTGTCGCACATACTTTAAAATGATAATATATTTAATGTTTTAATATTTGTTCAATCAAATTCTGAAATGAAAATGTCCTTTTCTTTGCAGTCATGGTTGCAAATCATGGTTAGCCTGGTAAAAAAAATAAAGAAAAAAAAATCCAACCAAAACTTCCTGTTTCAACAGGAAATATGTAAATAAAGGAAAGAAAAGCGTGCTCGCGAGCCGTTTCATGGGGTCTTTATGCCTCGTCCTCACTGACCACTTTCAGTGTTCATGTTATTCATGTGCCTTTCTTTGTTCGATTAGTGGCAATACTGTGTTTCTGTCTCTGATCTCTGTTTATTGCCTTTAAAAACATATATTTTTGTCAATTTAGCTGTAAGCATACATATTTAAAGGAAGATGCTCTAAGATTTTTACTATAGATTTCTACTTTGATGATAAAGTTAAGCATTTATTTGTCCTGGTACTTTGTCTTGTCTACTCAGTAGAGTCCTTATCGAGTTTTTCTTGTTGGCATTTTTTTCTGGAAATATGCAAATGCATATTACAATTATTGGCAGGCCAGTACAGTTGGTTCAAAAATTGGAGAAAATCTTTTTTTTTTTTTTATAAAACAAAATTGTTTTAGACATGTTATGTAGCATATTGGATCTTTAAAAAGAGTTTAATCTTAGTGATTTCTTGCGTTGTTTAAAGATGGTGCTTCATGCAGTCTGACCCATATGAATACATGGATAATAACATTAACTCTCTTTTTATTTGAATTGCCTTGAAGTTGTCTTTAAAGTTGAATCATAAAGGATCGAAATTATTTCTTAAGACTATTGGTTACGACTGTGGCGATATGTAGTAATGGATGATGATGATTCTTAAACGCATATTCGCACTTCTTCTGTTCAATTTTAATGTAAATCTAAACCCCTGGTGAAAAAGAGATTGACACATTGCTAAGATTTAAAGGTACAAAGATGAGGTTTGGCACACAATCCAGTTTTTGAAGTGATAGTGTGTTTTGTGAGCAGACTGGAGATGTGTTGCTGTGTGAGATGCTGTCGGAGAGAGTGGCGGTGTACAACTAAGCAAAGCTAATTCAGCATAAGAGTAAATGCCACAAAACATGTCCAGGTCATATTTCACTCCAGAGGAAAAGAAATCCAATTATATCATAGGATAATAAGACAATTATGCATATTTTCAGCACTATTAACATTTTCTTGCATTATTTTTGTTACAGTTACCCCCAAAACTCTCCCAATTATCACTGCTTAAAAAAAGACAAAAAATACTTAAACATGATGGTTTTATACATAATTTTTAGTAGTTATTTAATATTTTATTATTTTGTTCTATGAATTTAAATAAATACTGTTAAAAACATTGCATTACAACAATGAGAGTAAATAAAAAGTTAAGTTAAAAAATTAAGAAAATTTATTTATTTTTATTGGTCACATTTTACCTCAAAATTATATATATATATATATATATATATATATTTTTTTTTTTTTTTTTTTTTT